AACGTTTTCACTTTCAACAAACATTTATTTGTTATAATACTTCGACTAACGTATAAATAAATTTACTTTTACAGTTTCACGGCTAATCAATCGAATAATTGAATACACGCGATAACTAACACTAATCTCAATACTTCACTAGATTCTTAATCACTGAACGAACTTAAAACTGAAAAGTGACTTAATGTTTCATTGATTTTTGTACTTATAATATATCCTTTTTTCTAGATATTTCTCAAAATCTTTGAATCATTAACATTCTAGGTATCCTACGGATATTTTTATAACTTTAAATCTAACGTCATGATCTTGTTTGCTACTCCACCTAGCAAACATTTAAATAAAAACATCGAAAATATAACTAACAATATTTTAGTTGCATGACAGCAGCAATATAAGATAAAAACATGCCACCAGTATCCTAGCATAACACTATACGTCTTTACAATACTGTGTTGTTTTTTTTAAGAATATGATGTAATTGTACGTGATTATGATTATGTTAAAGTTCATTATTATTATGGTCTATAATTTTAGTTCTATTCTAATTAATAACTATAATGGGCTGTTGATCAATTAATATTTTCATTCTCTCCGTCACATTTCAACATGTGTCGATTTTCTTTTATCATTACAGTAAGGTTGTTTGATTTTAAAACTAAGTAGTGTTTAACATTTATAGCTTGTCCACAAAAATTGCACTGTTTGATAGTGTTTATGATATGCTATATTTTTCTCGTTGAGACATCCAAAACGTTAGAAAACATGCCACATTTTATAGACGTATATATATATATGGTATTTACATTATAGAGTAGGGCTAGATGAAGCCAAATTTGCCCAGTTTGTCATCATTTTACAACAGGTAGGGACACTTTTCTTCAAAAATGAATGAAAGGAAACAAAAGGAAGAAACAGAGCAATAATCAACAGCTGAACTTTTTGTTTTCTTTTGTTCTCGGCATAGCACGAATCTCCAACCTAACTATGTTTTATAAACATTTGTTACAAACATGTAACAATTTAATCAAACTTGACGGAGAGCGTATTTTGTTTCTCACCCTTGATATTTAAATATAGTATACCTTTTGGGCTTATGTAGGAAACCTTCTTTATGGGCTTAAGAGTAATTCCAGTAACAGCTCAATAATGTGACGGACTATGTACTTTTTACCTTTATATTATACGGATAAAAACCTGAATTTTATCGACCAGTCGTCTAAATTTAATTTGTCATATATCCGGGAAAAGATAATAGCAGGCAGAACAACATGGGCGAATGAATACCGAGCTCACAATACACGGTTGAATATATATAGCCTAGTGATTATATTTAGTGTTAAAAGAAAAAACACATAAGAAATCTACAGATTACTGGACGAACCGTGTTTGAATGGCTATATGTAACTACTATAGAGCTAACACTTTCCTAGTTCATTTTCTTCATTACAAACGCAAAAAAAACTTTTCATGAAATCACTTCGTAACTCACTTTCAAAATGCCTTCCGAACGCGTCGGTGCCTTTGACGATGCAGTATTTTGGCCTATGGTCTTCAACATGCATATTACACGGAATGACGTCTTTAAATCCGCTATTTAATGGTAAACTACAATATTCTTTAATCATTAGGGCCACATAAAGCATGAAATGATAACACTTCTAACGGTTTATCAGTTATTATAAACAGCATCTAAACAAACATCGACTCACCGTTACACAGACATTATCTCGTGCGGGACTTCTCTCGGAGACGGCGGTATATACTGAATACCTTCTTTCTCATTACACAGATGCTGGGCGTTACGCAATATGTCATGAAAGCCTTTCACGCACGCGTAATGCAACCGTCAATAAGCGCCTAGAAAACTCGAAAGTAAACATTTAATGGGTTCATATCTTACGAAAGTTAGTTACACGAGATGATGAAAACAGCAAATGAAGACTACACATTTTAGCTTTAATTATTCAAAGAACTAACGTCAAATGTAGTGATACTTAGCTTAGTTGCGGAATATTTTCTTCTTTTTTGTGAAGAGGGGAGATTTTTTTTCGCTATACTGACTATTAAGTGATATTTATTACAAATATTCTGACGGTACATAAAAAATAACTCATTCTACTTTGGCATCTTTTAAAGTGATCCACTTGCTGTGCTTTCCTTTTATTACTAACTTTTATAAGGATGATGAAATCCTCCTTTCCTTACATCAGTTAAGTGAACTTTATATTTAAAAAACAACAACATAATTTCAAGCAATCTTTTTAGATTAGCCTCATTGTTACTTTTTTTTATTAAAATGTGTGGATGACTTGACATCAGTTTATATTTATTGAAGCAGATATATGGATTGTCGAACGAAAAGACAGGCGCATATTAAGGGACGGACAAACAGATAACTATATTTGGATTACGTGCTTAACAGCATATAAAAACGATAGAAATAATGGTGTTGTCAACAGGTAGTTTTGCAAGGTGACATAACCAGATGGCTTGCGTTTGATATTTCGTCATCATAGGATCATTGGCTTCTCGCAATAAGCACTGATTTTCACTGTACAGGGAAAACTATGAGAACGCGGTAGAGAAACAGAAAACTAATGCGTCACATAATAAAAACCATCTAGATACGTTGTTGTTGTTGTTGTTTTTAATTAACTTCAGACAATGCTATCATTACTACGTTAGTTTGTTTGTTTGTAATTAAGCACAAAGCTACACAATGGGCTATCTGTGCTCTGCCCACCACGGGTATCGAAACCCGGATTCTAGCGTTGTAAGTCCGCAGTCATACCGCTGTGCCACTGGGGGGCATTTTCCACAATATAGATGTGTTTTACTTATTCCAGTTTGTTTGTTTGTTTGTTTGAATTTCGCGCAAAATTACACAAGAGCTATCTGGGCTAGCTGTCCCTAATTTAGCAGAGTAAGACTAGAGGGAAGGCAGCTAATCATCACTGCAGATTGCGAGTCGAGCGCCCTAACCACCTGGCCATGTGCATGTTATCCTAAGTGTCATGCTAAGACGTTGGAGTATAGCGCCCTAACCACCTGGCCATGTGCATGTTATCCTAAGTGTCATGCTAAGACGTTGGAGTATAGCCCCCTAACCACCTGGCTATGTGCATGTTATCCTAAGGGTTGTGCTAAGACGTTGGAGTATATTGCCCTAGCCGCCTGGCCATACCGGGCCTTCACATTCCAGAACTGAGTTTATATTATTTGTTTCGTGAGTTCCTAGGACAAGTATATATTTACAGGCACAAATATGAATATGGAAATCATACACATTCCAAAGGTAACATAATATTCTAGAGATACACACTCTGGGGACTTCATGTTTAGCTTTGTATACATCTTTGTCCAGCTAAACCCTCCCACAGTTTTGTAGCTAGCACGACTAAACTTGGCAGGCGTACTCGAGGCGCCCTTATTTATTATGGTGTAGGTTTTCATGGTCGCTCAACCCGAATATGATATTGGGTTTTGTGTTCCTGGCCCCCTTGTAATCTCTGGGGAGATTTGTAACATGTTACAAACTATGTTAATACCCCCCCCCCCCTATGTTGTAAAACCACTCTACAGATAAGATGATACTGAAATTATTGATAACATATTTTGATAACTCTGGACCTCTCACCATTTCAGCATCAGTTTCATTATAAATGTATTGTTATAAGCTGAGCAAACAGCTATTTTTGGCCTTTTGTGTGTGAGCATCGTTTTAACAGTTTGATTACTTTCTCAGTTTGGTGATCCCTGATTCCGAAGATGGTTTCTATTAGAAGGTCATCTCAGAATTCCAGTGAAAAGGCTTTAAACAAAAAAAAACAAAAAAAACTTGTAGTTTTGTAGTGAACTATGCGTTTGCTGTTACAATACATTTAAATGCATTGATTAGGATTTACTTAGTATTCAATAATACTAAGATATATTATTGGTTACATTTGTCTTATAAAGATAACAAATTGAGAAGTTGAAACTTGTTTGAACTAGATAAAGACCCTAAAGAAGAAAATCTGTTATTAAAAAATAAGACAATGGTGGGCTCCTATTTACTTCTTCTTTTAGGGAATAAAAACTTATAGGTAAATATATTATCAAGTACAGCCTCGCGATAAATGTTTAAAAAAAAATTGAAAGTATCTCAATGAAGAAGTAACAATTTATTTTAGAAGCGTAAACAAATATGTGTGTTGTCTTCATTTATAGAACGTTTTAGAACACCGATATCAACTAGTTGGAGGTATTCCAAAGTTAACTTAATTCACCAGTTAATTTTAATGTATTGTTTTCCGTGCAAAAGATATTTGTAACGGCTTTTATCATTGGACGGTTTATTATTGTTTGTTTGTTTGTTTGTTTGAAGTTACGCACAAAGCTACACAATGGGCTATCTGTGCTCTGCCCACCACGGGTATCGAAACCCGGATTCTAGCGTTGTAAGTCCGCAGACATACCGCTGTGCTACTGGGGGGCGGTTTATTATTATTATTCGGTCAAAATAATGCAAAGATCATTTAACAAATATGAAAACATTTTGTTTCTTCTATCACAAATTATACAAGCTCATTGAGGATAGGCCTAATATAACTTATAAATAAAGATAAACCATCACTTGCTTGTTAAATTTTCTCTCGTATCTACAGCACAAACTCAAAACTGGCTGACGATCATGTATGGCATGGCATGGTTAGGGCGCTCGACTCGAAACCTGCAGGGCTCGAATCCCCGTCCCATCAAACATGCTCGCCCTTTCAGCCTTGGGGGTGTTATAATATAACGGTCAATTCCACTATTCGTTGATAAAGAGCTGGCGGTGGGTGGTGATGACTAGCTGCTTTCCCTCTAGTCTTACACTGCTAACTTAGCGCAGCTAGTCCTTGTGTAACTTTGCGCGAGATTCAAAACAAACAGACTATCATATTCGCTTATAATTTTATATTATTTCAATATTTTCTCCCAAGAGTCTAGAAAATTCGAGATGTCATGTGCATGTCACGTCAAATCTAGACACTTAGAGGAAATTTCGAGGTTCACATATGATGACTACGGTATACCAAACTTCCTCCTTCAAACAACAGTTAACGTCTAAACTAAAATATTAAAACATATGGTTCACAGCACTGCCTCCTCCTTGAAGCCCCCCAGTAGCACAGCGGTATGTCTGCGGACTTACAACGCTAGAATCCAGATTTCGATTCTGCTCTGTTGCGCAGGTGGGCTTCATTCATTACCCTATTTGACCATATTTATGTTTACTAGAAATTTCCCACAGTGAAAGTAGCTTCAATGTTTCCCACTCGTCGTTCGCATCAATTCATCTTATTTTTTTCATATCTATTTTCCACATTTCAGTACCAAATCCGGTGGAACAATCGTAACTGTGCAAACAACACCAATCATCACGCTGCAAGGCTTCCCATAAGTACATCCATTGATTTGTGGACACTCCTTATTTTTATCGAGGCAGGTGGAATAATCTCATTTTCAAGATATCGCCTAAATGGTTTATTTATAACGACCTATTCCTGGCAGTATGAAGTTGAAGTTGCTATTAAACACCTTTTATCACGTGGTTTACATATTCCATTCTGAGTTAATATCTATCTAATAAATCGTTTGAGATCTTCTAACTCTTCACCAGAGAGAGTTGATTTTTCTATACTTTCTTATCTAATAAGTTTGTAATTCCTGGATGGTAGATTTAGTTGTTTATTTGCGACTTTAATTGATCCAAGTTCCATCGTCAACTGGCAACTTACTTTAAAAATGTACATCTACTTTACTTTAGCTTAATTCACGTGTCCTTATCTATTATAGTATCTATTAATTGGTAATGTGGCAATAAACCTAGCATCCCGGTTATATAACTGGGCAAGCCTTTTCACGTTTGCCCCATGTTCGGCTTAGAAATCGTCCTTCGTCTGTTCCTGAACGTTGCTTTGAAAACTTCCTTCTAATGTGATATTTCAAATCTATTTGATAAGGCAGCCGTCAATGCCTGGTAGTTGCTGTATCTGTGAAAGATTGCTTAATGTTGTTAAAACTAGTCGTTTTATAGGCTTGTTGTTCATTACTCCATTCATTCACTCTAGAAAGTATTTAAAACTGAGCCACGATATTTTCCCCGTCATATTTTGTTGGTTTCTCAACTGGGTAGCATTAATGAACTGTCCAGTTAAACTCCGAAGCCTGGTTAGACAGTGGCATAATTCGAGTAGTCTATGAAGGTTTTGAAGTCACAGATGATACAGCAGTAGTAGTGATAGGTGTTGACTAGACGAGTTTTCCTATTCCATATTTCATAGTTAATGATATTATAGGTTGGAATACTCGTGCATATGCAGAGCGAGATGTGGATCGTTTGGTCCTTGCATGTGACTGGTTTATTCTGTTACTTATGTTCTTTTCTCTCTCGTTTACTGTTATCAACTTTCTGTACTTCATATATATATTTTAATACTTCATTTCTGACTTTGTTGATGTCCTTTTGTGTTAACTCCTTTCTTAAACTCCCTTATCCATATCATGATGTGTGGGTAATTGACGTCTAGGAAGAGTGAATTTGGAAAGCGACTTCATGAGGAGACATAGATGCGAGATTAAACTAGCTTGAAATAGTTTAACTGTCTTTGACGAGTAAATCCCCATACACTATATGATAATTACAAACGGCACAGTTAAGACTTTTAGTGAGAA